TATCTTCATCTAATGAATACATGTGGTTTTGGATTCCACACTGACCAGTCTGAGCTGGGTAAATCCTGTTGCTTAGCCCTCAATAAGATGACTTTTCACAAATACTTGCAGCTTGTACTGAGCACCAGTTTCTCAATTTACTGTAACCCTTGGGTGTCAGGGCAAAGCCGAGGAGCAGTGAGGAATCAAGGTTCAAGGCTGTTCTATATTAAAAGTTACTGATGAAGCTGGAGGTTGTTGTGATGTGTCTAGTAGCTGGCTTCCAGAATCTCAAAATAGAGGAGGGGATAGCTAAGGGGTCTCAGTTGTCCGTGGGGAAACTGGAAGGCTGGTCTGCGTGATGAACGCTACTCTCTGGGAAGCTGCTGCTGTTGCCTGGTACCTTCTTAAGGAGCAGGAGAAAGAAGGGGTGATGCATCTCCTGGCAAATCGGTGCAACGCTGCAGGATGGGGCCGGTGGCTTCCCACAGCTCTGTGCTTGCCAGTTTCTTCTGTCACTGCAGGGGGAGATCTTGAGACAGGCAGGTGCCTCTGGTCTTAACAGCATGCTCCTGCTGTCCCCGGGCTGTGTGCCTCTGCCGCCTGACCCTGAGCATCCAGCTGGTCCGGAGAGAGCCAGGCGCTCGTTTTCTGCACGTTGTGTCCCTGTGTGCTGAGCGAAAGGCAAGAGCAGGAGAAGTAGAAGCTGTAGCTGCTCCTTAGGGCCTTCACCTTCCTCACTTAAGGCCTTAGCAGAGCAGAGGCTGACTGAAGTAAGTGTTCCTGTCTGCTGAGGACAAGGCGTGCCTTCTTCCACGAGCTGAGAGTTATATTTTTTTTTTTCTCTCAGGAGTCCCTCGGTGCAGTATAGCCTGGGGGATTTTAGGTTCAGTCCTGCTCATGGCTCACCCTCTTCTGTCCCTGTTCTCTGGCTTCTAAATTAGGGACTTGCGATTCATGAATGACCCTCATTTGCGGAATCACCTGCATCCAAGTCACTTTTTCCCCTAAGACTGAAGAGGTTGAAAAGTGCTCCTCACCCTTTTTTTTAGAGAGGCCCCAAGAAAAGACAATATAAATGCTGCTTTATAAAGGACTGTGAGACCAGAAGTGGCAATGGAGCTGGTCTAGCGTGGCCAGAGGTGGGATGGGTGGCAGAGATGGGATGGGTGGGATGTTTTGCCAGGGTGAAGGCATTTGCCTCTGGTGCGAGGGGGAGGCTCTCCACGATGCTGCTGCTGTGAGGATCCCACGTGTCATAACAGCTCAGTGACTTCTGTGTCACCAGGGGCAGGTTTGGTCAGGCTTGGGACCCCTGCCGCCTGTGTGCTGGGTCATGGCCAGCAGATCAGCTGCCTGGTTTTTGGCACCTTACAGAGCTGGGCAAACAGAGAAGTGAAGACCACTGCTAAGTGGCCTGCTCACCACAGGGCATCATCCATGCTGCAAAATGAGTGAGGTGAGTCCTGCAGTAACCAGCATGTAATTACAGAATTGCACAGCCTCCCACAAAAGGCAAGGACAGACGTGCCATTAGAGGTACACAGGAATATGGGTGTTTCCTCATTTTTCTGTCCTGGTTTTTGCTTTAATTACGTTTAAGGATAATTCTCAAAATTAAATGTAGTCAATACATAAGGCAACAGCAGCAAGTGAGCCCATGTCTGTGACTCAGCTGCTCTGGGAGGCGGCTTGGCTTTGCTGCCAGAATGGGAGACGTGGCCCAGTGAGGGCTTGTGCCTGCCCAGCCTGGGGCAGCTCTTCACACACCAGAGAAAAAGAGGAACAACCTACCGGCTTTATATTTGGTGACCCATGAAGCAAAATCACCAGGAAATGAACATGCAGAACTAACTGCCTTCAATAGCAAATACTTCAGCTTGACTGCTTAGGTGTGGAGTTCACCTTCACGTGGCTGCCATGGAAGTATAAACCTCAGCTGACCTCTTCCCCGGCTGCTTCGGGCTAAACATCTCTCGAGAAAGAGCTTTGCCCTCAAACACTTGCACTTCACACAGAAAGGTAATGCAGAAGTGAAGAGAGTTCAACTTTCTGTACCTATTTTTATGGGAAAAGACACCTGAGAGATCAGTGCAGTTAGGGTTAGGGGTTCCCTACATCAAAAATTCACTGCACAATCAAGGCCAACAGCAGCAGTTTTGAACTCAGACATGGGGATACAGCAAGCAGCTGTGAAAGCAGACAGCACCAGGGTAGAACCTTCCAGATGTTGCAAGAGGTGGCGTGGTAAGTGAAAGTTGTCACCTGCTGAGCTCCTACTGCACAGGAGGGAATTTACTCACAGTAACGAGGTTGTGTGTGTCTCTTTCGAAGCTACTATAAAAGCTGAGGAAGGATGTCAGTCCCTAAAAAGAGCAAAATATGTAGAGCACTGCGGTTCGGGGAAATTAAAGCAAGATCTCAAAAACAGTGAGCGATCCCATATGCTTAGGAAGCAAAGTGGTGTAGAAAACACTACATCCAGATCTGTCAATCCACAGGACATGGCTTTGTATGCAGCAATTACATGAGGAATTGTTTCCCTCATCAAGGCAGCTGTTTGAGGTGGGGTTTTTCCCTTTTCTTTTCGGATGCTTAAAGCCCTAACAGACACAACTCTCACTTTCATGTCTGTACTTTCACCAGCAACCACCCCTCCAAAGCTCTTTTTATCTCCCAGCTGCATAAGGCAAAGAACTAGGATGATAGTTTTCAAAAAAAGGTTTCCTGACTTCGTCATTTCTTAGAGGTAAACCCCACGCGCAGCACCGCAGCCAGCTCTCGCCTCCTGCCCAGGCCCTTCCAGGGACACCCTGCCTACCCCCGCCACACACCCCCTGGCAGGTGTCCCTCCAGGCCGCACCTCCTCCCTTCCCTCCAGTCCTTCCTCAGAGGGGCTCGGGTCTTTTCTCCCTTTAACCGGTGACAAACACCTGGGCCACTCGTGCAGGTCTCCAGCCTCTGTGGTCCCCGGCCCCTCTGGGCTCCCCGGCAGGGCCGGGAGAAGCGCCCCGCACCCACCTGTGGGCTGCAGTACAGTCAAATGGACCCAGCTACAAAACTGAGGCAACTTGCCCTAATTTCTCTTTTTTACCGTCAGTAGCAGCTACCACAGTCCTCTGCTCCCATAGATGTGACTTCATGTTTCTGTGTTCCTTCTGGTGTGCCTTTCCTGCCTGTCCAGGTTTGGTTTGTCCTGAAGGACTCTGCTCTGCTTCCCCAAGCAAACTTGGTTCTTAGAACTAAACTTTTTTTCCTCATTTTATCCACCTAAACCAATGCTTTTTTCAATCTAATAAATAAAAAAAGTGTATCAAGAATGCTATTTTTTTTTCACACCAAGAAACCCTCCACCATTATCTTGTTACACCTTAAATATTGCTGCTGCTGTTGATCTTTAGCCAGGCTT